CTTTATACATATATATATATATATATATATATATATATATATATATGTGTGTGTGTGTGTATATACAGTATATATATAGTTTTTATTGGTCACTCTGCCAGTTTACTGCCAAATGGAAACTATTAAACCAAGCTACATTTACAAAAAGTGCACTCTGGCAGTTTCATTGGGTTAATATTTATCTTTGATTGTGAAATAACAGATATTTGTGGCTCTAAAAACAGATGTTTAATGTTTCCATTGGCTTAAGCCAAAGAGCTGGACAACCTCCAACTACGGTTAGAGAGCGTAGATCATGCATCTACTCAAGCACAGCGGTTATATAAACATCTGTAGTCAACCATTAAATATCTAAAAAACATGCTGAACCAAGTTCTTCTGTGCTAAAGGTGATTAAATGTCGGGCTGCTGTTGCCTGGGAGCCCACTGCGGCCCTGATGATGGAGGAAATAGAAGTCGCCCCACCTCAGGAAGGAGAAATACGAATTAAGGTGGGAAATGTCCCATGAAAGTTGTCAAACCCCTTAAATACATTGAAATTGTTAACTTGTTGGTTAAATTGGTTAACACGTTTTTCTCCTGTTTTCAAGGTTGTAGCTACAGGTGTTTGTCACACCGACCTTTACCACCTGTTTGAAGGGAAGGACAAGCGTGGTTTTCCCACTGTCCTGGGACATGAGGGCGCTGGTGTGGTGGAGAGTGTGGGACCCGGGGTCACTGATTTCAAACCAGGTCACAAAATAAAACTATTCAAAATGCATGTCCAAGTCTTTATTTCTTCTTGAAAGGGATAGTTCACTCAAAAATGAAAATTCCATCACCAATTGCTCACCCTCATGTCTTCCGAATTGAATCTTTCCATGAATCTGTTTATCTGGTTATCTAACTGATTTGTTCATGAATGAAACACTACGTAAAAAATAAATATGTCTATGTATTCTGGTGAACAGGTGATAAGGTCATTCCACTCTTCCTCTCTCAGTGTGGAGAATGCAAGTTCTGCAAGTGTCCAAAAACAAACCTGTGTGACCGCAACTGGTAAGAAATGCAAACGACAGAATAATTTTTCGCATTATATTTCGTCCTCTTGCTTTTTGGGAATGTATCTTTTTTTCTCTGGCAGGTCAAGTAAATATCATGACATTATGTCTGATCCTACAACACGTTTCACTTGCCGTGATCGGCCCATTCTGCAGTTCATGGGCACCAGTACCTTCTCTGAATACACCGTCATCAACCAGATTGCTGTGGCCAAGATTGATGATGATGCCCCACTCGAACGCGTGTGTCTGCTCGGCTGCGGCATCTCTACCGGTTATGGAGCTGCTGTCAACACAGCTGGGGTGTGTAAAGATGTTGTGTGCACTCAAGAAGTATCTAGACACTTAAGCCACACTTAAATTAATGTTTTTGCTTTTTATAACAAAATGTTGAATCAAGGGCCATTCATTTTAAAGAAAGAAAGTCACTTTAAGAAAAATGTTTGACAAAATTAAAGATTAAATGTTGATCTCAGCTGTGCTGATATGATATTGCTTTTATACAACCAATAAATAAGTTGATATGGAGTAACTTACATTTTAAACACAAGATTAAAATATTTACTTTATACTTTAAGTTCATATTTCAATTATTCATCAACACATTCCAATATTCACAGTGCTCTGAAGTCAGTTAATGGTCACAAGACACGCAAGTAAACAAAATAAAATATTAAATATTTTAGTAAGTGTTTTATTTTGATTGTTTTCATCTTAAAACGTTATATTTATTGTAATTTTAATTGTTATGATTTAATAAATTATTAGCTTTTCATCAACTCACAAACCCCCTGCAATTCACTCACTAACCGCCAGACACTTGCAAACCCCTGTGTGTTATAGAATGAATCAGTGTGTTCAAACAATTTCGTTAAGTGAATAATTCAATGGCTCATTCATAAAAGTTGTCTCATTTCGAAGGTCTCAGTAGGTTGCATTTGTTGGCTGTATTATGTTCCCTTCGGAAAAGCAACCATTATATTCCAAAGTAAGAAATTACATTAATTAGATTAATTAAGCCTTACAATAAAAAAACAGCTGCACAGTTGCATTCTTGGAACACTGCTCTACCAATTACATTTGAGGATTGGAACTAACTGTTATATAAAGCAACTTGGAC